TGGGAGGACTCCACAAATCCCCATTTGCCTGCTGATCTCTACCCACCCTGTCTCCTCCATTAACACCACAGTGCCTCAAGCCATGTAGAACTTGCATTTTAATGTCTTTTCTTTCTTTGTCTGGTTCCAGGTCTGGCACTGGCATAATTTTGTCAGTCATTATGGTTCAAAACTATGTCCCAGAACCCAAAATAAATGGAGAAAGAGAGCACACTCATCTCAGAATGGGACTGAGAATGCTCATTGACTGAGGGGTTTTGCAATATGGTGTTCTAACACTTATTGGATAAAAGTGCCAAGTACAGGCTAGCACCTTTGCTCTCATTTGCTGAGAGAGTAGGTAGCACTCATTGTGAAGGAAAATGATGTAACATATTTGAGGAGCGAGGCTTTTGATGGAAGAATTTCATTTCCTTTCAAGGTATTGATCTATTTTACAGGACCCACAAAATATAGATCAAAACCCTTCTAGAATTCAGCTCTCTGTGATTGCAAATCTCCCAGATCCACTGAAGTTATAACTTACGATTCCAGTTACTTATGGTGTCCTGTGGGCTTCATGGGTATTATGCACTTACAGGGTTTAGTGAATACCCCTTGATATACCTTCACGAAAACTAACATAGATAAGCTCTCAGTAATGTTTTTTGAATAAGTGAATTAATAGTTACTACCCTTTATCTTATTCCAGGCACGTGACAAGTGCCTTAGACTATCAACTCTAATCCTAACACTATCCACATGAAATACAGTTTATCATCTCCATTACAGATGAGGAAAGTGAGGCTCAGAGAAGGCAATGCTATTATGTGCCAGAGCTCAAATTTGCATTCGGGCCTGTCTAGTTCCAAAGTTGGGCTTCTAATCACTATTTAGACATGTCTTCCAACAAATGGACAAAGGTGGGATCCTCGAATAGCAGGGAAGTAGGAGGACAGAGAGAAGAAGGAGAGGGGCCCATCCGATCATTTCCCTTGTGTCTGCATCACTGGAGTATAATTGCAGTATATGTTCAAATACTTTCCAAGTTACCTGCCTAGGTTTTTGTTTGTTTGTTTTACCTTCAGGTTTATTATCATATAAGGCTTGTTAGCTTTCCGGAATTAATAGGAACTGCAGGAATACTTCAGTCGGTGCTCAGGGAGTTCTGTAGGTGTGTTATAATCTAGGGGGAAAGTCTAATTGGAAACAGACTCTCAGGTCTTGTTAAAAGTCAACTATTCCAATCACCAATTTGGTACCTGAGCCCTCTGTTCTGGAACCTGACCAAGTTGGACGTCCAAACTGGTTCAGAACACTACCAGTGACAGGGAATTTACCAATCCTGAGCACCACTCATTTCATCCCTGAGCAGATTTTGCCATTTGGAATGTTTCCTTATTTTAAGCAGGAATCTAGCCCCTTATGTCTTAAACCCACTGGTCCCAAGCCCTATCTGTGGAATCATAACAAACAGGTCTCTTCTCCAGGCCAACGTTTCCAGTGTTTGAAGCCCATTGATCTTCCCGGGTCTTCTCTTTAGAGGATACATTCCCTCAGTGGTTCATCTTCTGCCCTGGCTCATGGCCTCTTACTTTTCCTCTCAT